AGAGTCCATAAGTTTTAATGTAAGATACCCGAGTTCTAGAGTCCAGAAGTTTTAATGTAAGATACCCGAGTTCTAGAGTCCAGAAGTTTTAATGTAAGATACCCGAGTTCTAGAGTCCAGAAGTTTTAACGTAAGATACCCGAGTTCTAGAGTTTATATTAAACACGTGCGACTGACTGGCTACTCAATGGTTGATTTACTTGCCTAAATAAACATGATTTATTTTCATTTAAAATTTTATGTTCAAAACATTTATGTTATCCAGTGTAGAAGAAGCTGCACGTGAAATGTTTCAGTCCTTATTCTGTTTTCATTACTGTGTACGAACGTTATTTATTTTCTTTTAATTTAGAAACCATTGAAGGATTTGACCCAGAGAAGATAGAAATAGCCAATCAGCCCGAAGAAGTAAGCGGGGGAGTTTGTAATTTAATATGTTTTGTACAGTAACAAATCATAGGAATAGATCGGCTATTCACCCTGTTAGGTTGATCATGCTGTTTACACCCTGTTAGGTTGATCATGCCGTATACACCTTGCTGGTTTGATCCTGCCGTATACACCTTGCTGGTTTGATCCTGCCGTATACACCTTGCTGGTTTGATCCTGCTGTATACACCCTGTTAGTTTGATCATGCTGTTTACACTTTGTGGTCTGATCCTGTTGTATACACCTTGCTGGTTTGATCCTGCTGTATACACCCTGTTAGTTTGATCATGCTGTTTACACTTTGTGGTCTGATCTTGTTGTATACAACTTGCTGGTTTGATCCTGCTGTATACACCCTGTTAGTTTGATTCTGCCGTATACACCTTGCTGGTTTGATCCTGCTGTATACACCCTGTTAGGTTCATCATGCTGTATACACTTTGTGGTCTGATCCTGTTGTATACACCTTGCTGGTTTGATCCTGCTGTATACACCCTGTTAGTTTGATCATGCTGTTTACACTTTGTGGTCTGATCCTGTTGTATACAACTTGCTGGTTTGATCCTGCTGTATACACCCTGTTAGTTTGATCCTGCCGTATACACCTTGCTGGTTTGATCCTGCTGTATATACCCTGTTAGTTTCATCATGCTGTTTACACTTTGTGGTCTGATCCTGTTGTATACAACTTGCTGGTTTGATCCTGCTGTTTACACTTTGTGGTCTGATCCTGCCGTATACACCTTGCTGGTTTGATCCTGCTGTATACACCCTGTTGTATACACCTTGCTGGTTTGATCCTGTGGTTTTAAGTTAATAATTATAAATTGCAGTGGTTGATTGGTTATAATTTAGTGCAGGAGCTACAAAAATTTCAAAGAAACTGAAGTCCACGAGTTACGACCACACTGACCAAGTACAGCAAAGTGACAAAGTCCACGAGTTACGACCAAACTGACCAAGTACAGCAAAGTGACAAAGTCCCCGAGTTACGACCACACTGACCAAGTACAGCAAAGA